TGAGGAGATATTAACAGATTAAGTGAATGGGCAAAACTATGACAAATGGATTTCAACACAGGCAAATGTCATCTACTTTGCACCTAAATTTGATAAAAGATGTTACTTTTTAATTGAGGAAATCCAGAAAGAGAAGAGATCCAAAGAGATCTGTAGGTCCAGACACATAGACCATTGAAGTATTGTAAAATAATATGGAAAATGATCAAAAAGACTAATGCAATGTTGTCCTTCGAATCTAGAGGACTAGAATAGACGAGGTAGAAGTCTGGCTTCAGCTATACAAAGTCCTGCTTAACCCACACCTGGAAAGATATACTGGCCTTGCAGGGAATGCCACATGGATTTACTAAAATGATACCTGCATTCCAGGGGTAAAGCCATGAAAAAAGAGATTAAACACAGATGATCTGTATTCATTTGAATTTATGATTACAGGGTTTCAATATATTAAGGGAACAGATATAGTAAAATAGCAAGAAACTTTCTGTTGTTCTTGAATTCCACGACGAGGGAGCTTAGGCAAAATAAAAGCCTTTTAGATGTGACGTTATTAAATTCGTCAATATGCTCAGCGCATCAGAGGTTTGAAACTCTCTTCCATCAATAACAATTTATACCAGATGATTTGTTAGATTTAAAACTGAGGTGACTATGTGGAATCAGCTTACAGATCATCCATGATCTCATTGAATGACACAGTAGGCTCGAGAAGCAGAATGGCCTACTCCCGTTCCTGTGTCCCTACCTTAAACTGAGAACTCAGCTATTTGAAAGCATTCAGAAGAACTCTTTCACACGTATAAGCTATGTATGTTGAAACAGGTACAAGCTTCAGGACTCAGATCGATATGCTTTTTATACAGGTATGCAACACAGAAAAAGACCCTTCAGTCCATTGAACCTGTGCCAGTCAAAAGCAATCACCCAACTATCCTAACCTATTCAATTTTTGCTAGGTTAGGGCCTCAAAGAATATAAAACTAATACAATAAAAAGGATTTCAGGAACATGGGATGCCGGACAATTATGGAATAAATAATAAACTAAGCTAATGGGGCAGAATGGCCTATACTCTGAGACATCTTAATACATTTCATTACACATTTAGAATTACAGAATCCCTACAGTGCAGAAAGAGGCCATTCAGCCCATTGGGTCTGCACTGACCCTCCGAAGAGCATGTCACCCAGACCCAGTCCCCCACCCTATCCTCATATCCCTGCATTTAGTAAGGCTAATCCATGTAGCTTGCACATTTTTGGACACTGGGGGGAACCGGAGTATCCGGAGGAAACCCACACAGACACGGGGAGAATATGCAAACCCGGGTCCCTGGCGCTGTGAAGCAGCAGTGTTAACCACTGAGCCACCAAATTCAAAAAATTAGTCTGATGTGATTCATGAAAACACTGCACCTTTAATGTATTTTCATGTTTATTTAGCAACAGCTGGTGAATTATTAGCTGCAAAATATGTAAAGAACCCAAAACTATAAACATTTTAAAATTTACACTGTCAATCTTACTAATTAGAAAATCAGGATTTTAAGTTGCTGCGTGTCAAAATTATCTTGAAGTATTTAGCCTAACCAATAAGCTGAAGAGAAAGTGACCTTTCTTTAAATACAAATTGCCCAATGTTCATTCCAAATTCCTCAGACTTTTAGCACTTCTCAAAAGTTGGCATCATTAACATTTCGGTTTCAATCTCAACGCACATCACTAAGAACATGAATATAGAACCAAACCCAAGATTGCTGTCACTGTACTGGGGGAAGAAAGACCTCTTAAAGTCACAATTCACAAGTTCCATAGAAAGATAATACTGATCCTGAAAGCCCTCTCCCTGTTTAGTTATGAATTTAAGAAATTAGAAAATAACATGAAATACCTGAAAGAGTCAACTAAGTGAGTATACTATAGTTTTCTTTGAAACAAATTAATTTTTCTTGAAAAAATAATCTCAGCATCTTACTGATCTTTTGGAATTGAAGGCAGAGCAAGCTACAGTTGATTCCTCCTGAGGGAAACTAATCCAATCTTATGACAAAAGGAAAATTAGATTTTTCAGTAAACAAACGAACTGTGAGAATTAAACATAGGGGAGCAAAATCTTCCAGAGGCATTAAGCCTAATACTTGATCAATCCCCAAAAGTGTAATAGACCTATAGAAACTTGTGAAGGAAAGTTCCACAGAACAGACTTGTAAGTCAGATTGTAGAATAAAAGTGACAGCAGGGACATGGATACAAAAATGGCTAAGTGACAGCAAATAGAGATTGGTGGTGAACACTTGCTTTTTTTTAGATTGAAGCAAGGTTTGTCATGGAATTCCTCAGTGCTGTGTTCCTTTTCCTGACATAGGCTGGTGCACAGAGCCCAATTTCAATTTTTTCAGGCTGTATAAAATTTCTAAGTATTGTAAATCATGAGGAAGAAAGTATGAAATTTCAAAAGGACATAGACAAATTGGTGAAATGGGCAGACAAGTGGCAGATGAGATTTAATGCAGGGAAATGCAAAGTGGTTCATTTTGCCAGATAGAAGATGGTGAGACCAAGTAAAGGTACCGTCCTAATGAGGACATATATGTGCACAAGTCATTGAATATGGCAGTGCAGGTTGAGAAAATGGGCAATAAAACATACATGATCCTGGGGCTTTATAAAAAGAGCATTGAGCAGAAAAGTTATGATAAACCTTTGTAAAACACTGGTTCAACCTCTATTGGAGTATTGCATCGAGTTCTGGTCACCATGTTGTATGAAATTATTGGAGAGTATACATAAAAAACTCAAAAGAATAGTTCTGGGGATGAGAATCCTCAGAAAAGTTAATCGATTGGAGAAGCTGGGAGTGTTCTCTTAGGTTGGGAGGAAATTTAATAGACCTCAACTTCTAGACTTCACTTTTTACAGTTCAGAAATTTCTGTCTAATTTACTTCCACAATAATGATTAGCATTATTTGCTTCACCATTATACCCAACACAAAATCTTTTGAAAATATTGATAAATATCAATTCATTTTTTTTAAACTTTATTCAAAATAGAAGGGTATAAATGTCTTCAGTTTTAGAAAAGATGTTAATTTTTAATTCATTCATGGGATGCTGGCAGACCAGCATTTATGGGCCATCCCTGATTGAGTTAAAGAGTCATCCACATTGCTGTGGGTCTGGAGTCACGAGTAGGCCAGACCAGGTAAGGACATTAGTGAACCAGTTGGGTTTTTCCTCAACAATTGATAATGTATTCGTGGTTGTCATTATACTCTTAATTCCAGCTTTCTTTTCTGTTCACTTCAAATTCTACCATGGCAGGATTCAAACCCAGGTCCTCAGATCATTACTTAAATCTCTGCATTAACAGTCCAGCAATAATACCACTAGGCCATTGCCTCCTCTAGACTTAATACTAGATTAGACTAATGTATTAGGCCAAAACCCTGGAATGGGTGGATTGTCTTATAAGGAAAGTTTGCACAGGCTAGGCTTGTATCTCCCAGAGTTTCAAAGAATGCGAGCTGACTTCATTGAAATATACAAGATCCTGAAGGGTCTTAACAAGGTCAAGGTGTGTAAGATGCTTTCTCTGTTTGGGGAATCTAGAATTAGAGATAACTGTTTAAATATAAGGAGCAGCACATTTAAGACAAGATGAGGGGAAGTTTTTTCTCACATTGGATCATGAGCCTTTAGAACTCTTTTCCCGAAAATGTGGTGGAAGCAGAGCCTTTGAATATTTTTAAGGCAGATATATATAGATTCTTGAAAGGGGGTGAAAGGTTATTTGGGCAGGCAGAAATGTGGAGTAATCGAATCCGCCATAATCTTATTGAATGGCAGGCTCAACTGGGGGTTACCCCTGCACCTAATTCATACAATTGTATGTAAGAGACTCTGAAAATACAGAAAATTATATTTTTCTCCCATGTTTTCTGTTTTGATTCTTTTTAAACACAGTTCCTTGTCCTGGGATTGCTACTTCATCTATTAGCCTAAATATTCTGTAATAGTAATGATCTTAGAAACCCTGAATGGAAGACATGTTCTGGTGCTGAAGCAGTTTTAATATTTACCACCACCTAGTGGTCAAGCTGTAGAATAGTATTTCAGAGACAGTAGGAACTGCAGATGCTGGAGAATCTGAGATAACAAGGTGTAGAGCTGGATGAACACAGCAGGCCAAGCAGCATCAGAAGAGCAGGAAGCCTGACGTTTCGGGCCTAGACCCTTCTTCAGAAATGGGGGAGGGGAAG